TGGCGCTCTTTTTTACCTCTGTATTAAAAGGTGGTTCAGTGGTTATTCTTTATTGCAGCTGCTCTTGGTGAGCACAATATTGCGAGTGCGAAATTAGGGCACGCCCAAAGGCGTGACCTGATAGTTAGAGAGAGAGTTTGTGTGAAAGGTTCTAGCAGATGCCAGAACACTGCCACCCGCAGCAAAACAAATATAACAAGCGGAAGCATAATTTTTTAACATCAAAGGTAATCGCAAAGTATTTACATAGTCCTGTTCTAGTGATGTTGCCGTTTGAATGGAGGAACGCCTTGTCGATTGGAGCACAGCAGAACATTGTGTGGCCTCCCGCACGCAGCGCACCGTACTCCACAGTCCTCCTCTGAATCGGCACTGAATAGTATATTGTCCCCATAGAAGTTTTTTGCAATCTCGTTGGGAAGTTCTGTGCCCTGGCGTAGAAATGCGAGTAATACCATGTTTAATATACTTGGCGACGCTGTGATACCGAAGGGCAATCTTTTGAAGCGGTACTCTATTATGTTCATTCGCACAACTGGCTTATCATGGTCCTTTAACCACAAGAATCGGCACAAGTCTTTGTGTGTGTCTTCAATCCGTATCTGTGTGAATGCGGCCTCTATGTTGCAAAGGAGCAGAAATTTGGCGAAAGTGCTTGGGACAAGTAAGTCATGCATTTTATTGACGAACGATTTTTCTTAAAAATTATATCGTTCAGAGAGAGTTGAGCTTTCTTTTTGGATGATGCGTCGAAAACCACTCGAAGGGGTACTTTTTTATTAGGTCGCCATACGCCAGAATGTGGCATGTAGTATGTGCCAATGGCATTGAAGTCGGTATCGTGAACTTGCTGATGTCCTGGTTTTCGTAACCGTTCAGGATCTTGGAGTACCAAAAGGATTGGTCTTTTCTTGATTTAAGTGTGTTTTGCAGTGATGCCAGTCTTTTTATGGCGACAGAATAGTTGTCTTGAATATGAGTAACCCTATCTTTCAGCGGAAATGGTGCTTTGACGTAGCCTTTTTCAAATGAAATCTTTTTGGAGTACTCTTCAAAGTATTTTCCA